TTTTTTTTTTTGTTGTTTTTTTTTTTTTTTTCTTTTTTTTTTTGTTAGAGGAACTTCCGTTGTCCTTGCTTGTTATTTCAAATTCCACACCATCACCTTGCAACTTTCCGATTTTAAATCATTACAAACTATCATGTCTCAAACTTCACAAGTCATTGGGCGAAAAGTGAAACAAAAGGTCATGGGGTTTGAATGTGTTTATGAACAAAGAGGTGCAGGCTCAATCATGGCTAGCAAGGGGCAAACGCAAAAAGAAAAAAAAAAATATATAATTTATCAAGAAGCAACAAAAGGAAAGATAAACCTAGAAAAGCAAAATAGTCACCGAAGAAAATGCTTTTATCGTCCTTAGATATAGTTCGGTCGCGATCTCGGGTAGCTAGACAACAAGTTCTCGATCGAAGCATGCCTTGGTAAGGATCCTAAGCCGCTCATACAATAAGTGGTGGAGGCTTGAACAATAAATCTGACATGGGTTACAAAAACTACCTTTAGGGCTTTAAATCCCCCAAAGAGGGCAACGCCATCTTACCACAAACAAGTGAATTTGGGTTCGGTGGGCCTTACGAGTTCTAGCAACTACCTTAGCATAGACATATCTTAGAGTCAACCAATGGTAATCCAAGAACGCGGAAACTCTTAATCCTTAGGAATAAAGACATTCAAGAACGCAAGTCAAATTAATTTTTTTTTTTTTTTTTTTTTTTTTTTTTTTTTTTTTTCTTTTTTTTTTGTTAGAGGAACTTCCGTTTTCCTTGCTTGTTATTTCAAATTCCACACCATCACCTTGCAACTTTCCGATTTTAAATCATTACAAACTATCATGTCTCAAACTTCACAAGTCATTGGGCGAAAAGTGAAACAAAAGGTCATGGGGTTTGAATGTGTTTATGAACAAAGAGGTGCAGGCTCAATCATGGCTAGCAAGGGGCAAACGCAAAAAGAAAAAAAAAATATATATAATTTATCAAGAAGCAACAAAAGGAAAGATAAACCTAGAAAAGCAAAATAGTCACCGAAGAAAATGCTTTTATCGTCCTTAGATATAGTTCGGTCGCGATCTCGGGTAGCTAGACAACAAGTTCTCGATCGAAGCATGCCTTGGTAAGGATCCTAAGCCGCTCATACAATAAGTGGTGGAGGCTTGAACAATAAATCTGACATGGGTTACAAAAACTACCTTTAGGGCTTTAAATCCCCCAAAGAGGGCAACGCCATCTTACCACAAACAAGTGAATTTGGGTTCGGTGGGCCTTACGAGTTCTAGCAACTACCTTAGCATAGACATATCTTAGAGTCAACCAATGGCAATCCAAGAACGCGGAAACTCTTAATCCTTAGGAATAAAGACATTCAAGAACGCAAGTCAAATTAAATTTTTTTTTTTTTTTTTTTTTTTTTTTTTTTTTTCGCTATAAACTAATCTACCCTTGACAAAATTTCTAGATCTTCACCAAAATCTACATTACCTCAAAATTCATCAAGCCGTAAATACATACCTGCACTGGTGAATCGCCATGTTGGCGAATACCAGTAATCATCATTATCGACAGGGAAAACGGGGGGCGGACTCAGCGGTATCCATCAAACCGAGAGAAGCGTCCCAAAGCAGCATCATCATCAAAATCATATCAAAAACTCATCAACAGGATTAGTGAACAGGGGCAAAGTCAACCAAAGAAAACAGTCATGTAACTCAGTAGAATCAGCAGCATGAAGGTACAGGGAAAACAATGAAAGACCGGCAGGCGAGCAAGTAAGAATCCCAACCAAGTCACTCCCTACCAAGAGTATATCTCCAACTCATCAAAATAAGCGTACAAAAACAAGGGAGAGAGATATACTCAAGGACGCAGCCTACTGGCCACTAGAGCCGGGCTCACTAGGTGAGCCAGACCGACGTGGCGGCTCGTCATAAGTGAAGCCACTAGGGGGGCCGAAAAGGCCCCAACCACCGTCAAAGCCCGGCGGCCAACCGTAGTGACCTCTGTAAAGATCCTCTTGCCAACTAGGCAAAGGATCAGAGGGAGTGTCCTCGGATTGAGAGTACAGAGGGGCGGGGTGATCAGGATGTGCATAGGGGTACGCAGGGTCCCTCTAAAGTCACACCCGCCGGGCACACGATAATCGTACTGCCCGTCCTCTGGGAAGCTGCGGAGCTCCCTACTAGGCTCGGAAGGACCTTGGCAGTAGGGGTAAGTGGGGAGATTGTCCCCCCCCCCCAAGAAGGAACAGGGCCGTGCTGAGGCGGCCAATTGGGGTAGTTCACGGGGGGGGGCAATCTCTCCTCTATCCACAGCGGAGTCATAGAGGGCCTGCTGCTGCAGATGGTGGCCTTGCTGTGACTCATAAATTGCCTGCAACTGCCTAGCTATATCAGATAGCTGAAATGTACCAATACCTGCGGGTTGCTGGGTAAACGGCTGCTGCTGCTGCTCCTCCTGAACCTCCTCCTCATTACCCATTTCAACCTCATCGTCCCCATCGACATCGGGCACTCGCCCGCTATCTCTCAAAACTCTCCACACATTAGGGGACTGACGCGTGAGAGAAGTGAAGTGAGGCTTGGGGAGGAAACAATGGTGGGCTCCTCTAACTAGCCACCTAAAAGCATTGGGGTTCGCCGTGGGGGTAATAAAATCAGAACGGCGAAGCTGGTCCAAATCAAGGTAAATATCCCCACTACTACCTACGGCCGTGCATAGAGGTAGAAGGTCAGTGTAACCTAATTTGGTGGCCAGTCTAGTGACCATCGCCCCGCAGTGTATGTCCCCTGGCTTTTTCCCCTTTGCTATGGCTTGGGAGGTTTGCATGAAGAGGAAACCCAAATTCAACCTCCGAGCATGCTCTGGCTTTGTGGCTATCCATAGGCAAAGGACCTCTTCCTTAGTCAGCTTCCCTAGGTCCTGCTTAGGAATGATAGAATACCCTAATAAACGGTGTAGGATCCTAAGGGCAGGGTGCCAAATCTCACTGGCTAAGGAAGTCCGGGTGTAAAACTCATTTTTGCCTGAAATGGAACGCCACCAAGCGTACTCACTATACTCCCCAAAGCTCTCATATAGAGGGTAGTGAATGTCGGCATCGGGGTGAAGGTCGAGGGCTCGGTTGAACTCTGCCAATGACATTGTGTGGGGGTTGTTGAAGAGTTGGAAAGAAATTCGAAAGTCGTCATTTTCTAGACTATCCACTTGAAAAGACGAGAAAAACTCTAATGTGGGTTCTTTGTAGGTCATGAATGAGGAGTTTATGAATGACCCTAATCGAAGGTTGTCAAAAAGAATCCACAAATCATCATTAATACCGAGTTTTATCATGTCTCCACGATGGTAGTGTCTAGAAGGTCGCAACTTACGTTTTTGCATTTCCGAGTGTATGGAGGAGTGGCTTTTGTGTAAAAATTTTAGGGTGGGTAAGGCATTGGGTTGGTCTGACTCTTGGTTTTGGGACGATTGTCCCGACTTTGCAGTTTTTCTCTTCTTCCCAATTCTTAGACTCATGACTGCCCACCTCTTTTTTTTTTTTTTTTTTTTTTTTTTTTTTTTTTCACTCCTTTTCAAAGCCAACTCCGGCTATTTCCACCCTTAACCTCCACAAAACTACAATGTACCTGTTCACAAGCAATAATAATCCAACCACGCAACGAATATAGCCTAAGATACTAATCAACAACAACAAGTTCAACAGAATCCAGCAATAATTTCAACAATAATCAACCAAATTTCGCTAATAACCTAAGATAATCAAAATCCTTACTTAAAATTAATCCAAGAGAATAATTAACTAAGGAGATCGAATACCTTTACCTTTATGCGGAAGATTGCTGTTTTGGTGTCGATTTGGTGAAGGATTTGAGTAGGAAGGGGGGGGGGTTCGTTGCGGTTGTGCCCTTGATGCCCAATTGCTACCTTTGAAGATGAACAAACGGAGAGGATGATTGATTGAAGCTTGAGGATGATTGATGTGGTATATATTTTGAGAATGATTGATTTATGAAGGTGGAAGAAGATGATCTTGGCTATGGTGGTGAGGAGCGGCCGCGAAGAGAGAGAAAGGCAAAGAGGGTTTGGTTTATGTTTGTGAGGATTTGGAAATTGTGGGAATATAAGAAGCCACCGTATTTTTTTTTTTTTCTGATATCCAGAAAGGCGCGCCCGCTCCCGATTAAGGCGCACCCGCTCCTTAAAGAAAACGCGAGCCGCTCCTATATCGCGCCTAAATCGCTCCAACTTCCTGGAAATCAGTAAAAACTACAGCGCGCCCGCGCTAATAGTAGACGCGCCCGCGCCTTCTTTAAAAACGCGAGCCGCTCTGCAATCGCGGCCAAATCGCTCCTGCCTCCTGGAATGGAAGTAATTTTTCAAGCGTATACCAGGCGCGTCCGCGAAGAAACTAGGCGCGCCCGCGCCTTACTGCTCATGCGGATCGCGCTTCAGCCGCGATAAAATCGCTCCAACTCCCTGGAATTGGAGAAATTTTCATTCATAAAAATTGCGCGCCCGCGACGAAACCAGGCGCGCCCGCGCTTTAATGCTGCTGCGGATCGCGCTACAGCCGCGTTCAAATCGCGCTGAGGTTCTGTTTCTTTAGAATTCATCCGAGCACAAATTTCAAAATTCCTCTCTTTTTTAATTTTCTGCTTTGCTCTTGCCTTTCTTTCCTCGTGGACACACGCAATCACGCCTGCATCAGAATTGATTGGGAAGAGCGTTAGGTGGATTAGTTCAAGCGATTTGAAAGAAAATAAAATCAAAGAGGTTAGAAACCGGGTTGCCTCCCGTAAGCGCTTCTTTAACGTCACTAGCTTGACGTACTTCACACGGAATCATGGTGATTTGGAAACATCAATGAGAGATAAATTTTCTGGCTTCTCAATTAGCTGACCCTCATAGTATGGCTTGAGACGCTGCCCATTCACTTTGAATGGAGGGTACTTGTCATTGAAAATCTCAACCGAGCCATAAGGAAAGGTTTTGGACACTTGAAATGGACCGCTCCATCTAGATCTCAATTTCCCGGGGGAAGAGCTTGAGTCTTGAATTGTAGAGCAGGACCTTTTGTCCTTCCACAAATTCCTTCTTGGAAATTCGAGCATCGTGCCATGCCTTGGTTCTTGCTTTGTAGAGGCTTGCACTGTCATATGCATTCATTCTCAGCTCTTCCAACTCATGAAGCTCTAGAAGCCTTTGCTCACCCGTACTGTGGAGATCAAAGTTGATTTGCTTGATTGCCCAATGCGTTCGGTGCTCCATCTCTACGGGTAAATGGCAATTCTTCCCATAAACAAGCTTATAGGGGGTAGTCCCTATAGGAGTCTTGAAGGCGGTCCTATATGCCCACAATGAATCAATGAGCTTACTGGACCAATCCTTCCTTGTTCTAGCAACAGTCTTCTCTAAGATGACTTTTAACTCCCTATTTGTGACCTCCGCTTGACCACTTGTTTGGGGTGGTAAGCAAGGCCTCGCTTGTGAGATACACCGTACTTTGAAAGAAGCTTGTTGAATGCATGGTGCTTGAAGTGTGAGCCTCCATCACTTATGATTGCCTTAGGAACACCGAATCTTGGGAAGATGACTTTCTTGAACAAATTGATGACCACCCTTGAGTCGTTGGTGGGAGATGCCACGGCTTCCGCCATTTGGAGACATAATCAACGGCAACTAGAATGTGCCGGTTTCCTTGGGATGAGATGAAAGGGCCCATGAAGTCAATTGCCCAAACATCAAAGATTTCAAGTTCAAGAATAGGATTTTGGGGCATCTCATCGCGCCGTGATATGTTCCCTGTCCTTTGGCACCTATCACAAGTCTTAACAAATTGCCAAGCATCTTTGAATAGAGACGGCCAAAAGAGCATACATTGCAAAACCTTGGAAGCGGTCTTTTGAGCACTCATATGACCACCACAAGGGGATGAGTGGCACATTGAGAGCACATCTTGGAATTCTTCATTAGGAACACATCTTCTCAAGAGTCCATCCACCCCTCTCTTCAACAACATGGGGTCATCCCATATATACTTCTTTGCTTCATGCTTGAGCTTTCTATGTTGTTGAGGAGTGAAATCCGGAGGTATGGCACTACAAGCCAAGTAGTTCACAATATCCGCATACCAAGGCTCTGATTTTGCCTCAAGAGCATATAAGACATCATCCATTAGGGCATCTTCAATTGGAAAATCGTCTTCATGTATTCTTGCAGCTCCTAACCTAGAGAGGTGGTCCGCCACCACGTTCTCGGCTCCCTTCTTATCTCTCATTTCGTAATCAAAATCTTGAAGGACCAACACCCATCTCAACAACCTCGGTTTGGCCTCCTTCTTACTTATCAAATATTTGAGAGCCGAGTGATCGGTATACACTATTGTCCTGGAACCAATGAGGTAGGTTCTTAACTTCTCAAATGAGTGGATAACCGCCAAAAACTCTTTTTCGGTAGTTGTATAATTTCGTTGGGCATCGTTGAGAGTCTTGGACAAATAGTATATAACGTGAAGTTTCCCATCCTTTCTTTGTCCCAGAACCGATCCAATGGCCCCGTCGCTTGCATCGCACATTAGCTCGAATGGTAGAGACCAATCCGGTCCTCGGACTACGGGGGCGGTGCAAAGGGCCTGTTTCAACCTGCAAAATGACTCATGACAAGCTTCATCAAATACAAATTCTTTATCCTGTTGCAAGAGAGATGTGAGAGGCTTAGCAATCAAAGAGAAATCTTTGATGAAGCGGCGGTAAAAGCCGGCATGACCAAGGAAGGACCTCACTTCTCTCACATTTGTGGGAGGAGGAAGCTTCTCGATCACATCAACCTTCGCACCATCGACTTCGATGCCCGCTTGGGAGATTTTATGGCCAAGAACAATGCCGTTTTCCACCATGAAGTGGCATTTCTCCCAATTGAGCACCAAGTTGGCACTCTCACATCTTTCTAAACAACGAGATAAATTCATTAGGCACTGCTCATACGTGCCTCCACCAACGGAAAAAATCATCCATAAAAACTTCCATTTCTTCCTCGATCATTTCACTAAAAATTGACATCATGCATCTTTGGAAGGTGGCCGGGGCATTACAAAGACCAAAAGGCATCCTACGATAAGCAAAAGTTCCGTAGGGACAAGTGAAAGTGGTATTTTCTTGATCTTTTGGGTCAATTGGGATTTGGAAGAATCCCGAATAACCATCAAGAAAGCAATAAAAAGCATGCTTTGTAAGCCTCTCAAGCATTTGATCGATGAACGGTAATGGAAAATGGTCTTTGGAAGTGTTGGCATTTAATTGGCGGTAATCAATACACATGCGCCAACCCGTAACAAGCCGAGTTGGGACCAATTGTTGCTTATCATTGATCATTACCGTCATACCTCCCTTTTTCGGCACTACTTGAACCGGGGATACCCAATCACTATGAGCGATTGGATAGATGATCCCTGCTTCAAGTAGCTTGGAAACTTCCTTTCTCACAACCTCTTGCATGGAAGGATTAAGTTTCCTTTGCCGTTGCCTACACGGCTTAGCACCCTCCTCTAAATCGATCTTATGCATGCATAGGGAGGGGCTTATACCTTTGAGATCATCAAGAGTATAACCCAAAGCCTTCCTATGCATTTTCAAAACATTAATCAATGAGGAGGTTTGCTCTTCCGTGAGGTTAGCATTGATAATGACCGGAAAAGTATCATTAACATCCAAAAAGACATACCTCAAGCCCGAAGGTAGAGGTTTCAATTCTACTTTCGGAGCTACCTTACCATTGGAGATTTCCTCCTCTTCTACTTGGAAGACTTCATACGGTTGGGGCATCTCTTGGTCGGGGGTTGTCTCTTCTTTCTCATCAAGCATTTCCTCATATAATTGCATCTCCTTTTGATCACCTACCTAATTCTCATTCAACAAGACATTCTCAAGTAGATCATTAGAAGCATGCATATAAGGGTATCTAAACTCATTCATCAAGTTTTCAATTGTATCTATTCTAAAACATTCATTGTCAGAGGAAGGTTGTCTCATCACCTTATTCAAATCAAATTCGATAGAATCATTGTCAACCTTCAAGGTCATCTTGCCTTCTTTGACATCAATAATTGCTTTAGAGGTAGCTAGGAATGGCCTACCCAAGATTATAGGAATTATTTCATCTTCATCCATTTCAAGAACATAAAAGTCCACCGGAAAAGTGAACTTACCGACTCTAAGGGGTATGTCCTCTACTTTCCCTATAGGCAATTTTGTGGACCTATCTGCTAATTGGAGGGTGATGTTTGTAGGTGAAAGGTTTCCCACATTAAGCTTTTGGTAGACCGAGAAAGGCATTAAACTCACACTAGCACCTAGGTCACACAAAGCTTTCCCCAAATGAACTTCATTGATAGAACAAGGGATGGAAAAACTACCGGGATCTTGCAATTTAGTTGGTAGCTTACTGGAGAGAATAACACTACAATTTGCGGTTAAGCTAACGGTTTCAACTTCTCTCCTTCCATTCAGGAGGTCTTTTAGGAATTTAGAGTAGTGTGGCATCTCTTTCATAGCATCCACAAAGGGTATAGAAACATGCAAGCTCTTTACTACATCTAAAAATTTTCCAAATTGGACATCAAGCCTAGACCTAGCAAATCTTTGGGGAAAAGGCAACCTCTCATTCCTAGGTTGGAGATTAAGGGGTAAAGATGTTTGATCTTTGGTGCTCTCCTTTTCGAGTTCCTTCTCTTTCTCTTTCTCACCCCTCTCATTCTTTCCGGCACTTCCCTCTAGAATCTCATTCTCTCTTGATGATTCATCCTCAACCTCAAGTCCTATCCTCACATCGGGACTCTTCTCAACATTTAGTTCACTCTCAAGGATCTTCCCACTTCTAGTAGTAATGGCATACATAGACTTGGGGTTGACACCTTGACTAGGTAAAGAAGAAGACGAAGAAGGGGAGGATGAAGAACTTGGTTGGGCAATTTGAGAGATTTGGGTCTCAAGCATTTTCATGTGTGCCTTGATTTGTTTCTTTTCTTCCTCTTGACTCTTATTATGGTTTTCTTGATTTTTAATGAAATTTTGAAGCATAGCCATCATAGGATCAGGAGGGGCTTCTATTTGGAGGGGTTGAGTAGGGGGAATTTGAGAATGGGGCCTTACTTGGTCAAAACCGGGGGGTCTACTATTTTGTGAGAAAGTAGAAGCATTTTGAGGTCTATTACCCCCGGAACCCTGATTGGAATTAAAACGTTGTTGGTTGTTGGAATAGTGTTGTTGGTTTTGATTCCAATTGGGTCTTTGGTTTGAGTAACTTCTTCCATTGTAATTGGAAGAGTTTCCCCTACCTTGGCCTTGGTTATCATAACCACCACCACTTTGATTCCATTGACTTTGATTCCAACCTTGGTTTTGATTCCAACTATGGTTTGGGTTTTTGATTCCAATTTGGTCGCATTCCATTATTTCCCTCACGGGGCACAAAATTCATGGCATTAACATCTTCAACATTATCATCATTTTCATGGGGAGGGGGACCTTCACTTATGGACATACATTGTTGAGAATTATGATCATAGCCTCCACATATATCACAAAACATACAACCAGGAGGCATGGCATTGTAATTAGAGGGAGAAGAAGTAGAAGGATTCATACCATGGCCTCCCTTGGGAGAAGGGGAGGAAGCATTTTGGGAACTTGATTTCATGAACTCCTCCATTTGTTTCGCCATCTTTGCCATTTGGTTGGAAACATTTGTGATGGCATTGGTTTGCTCGACGGAATGTACCGTTCCTTTGCTAGAAGTGGCTTCCCTCTCACCTTCGTACCAATCCTCATAATTGCGCACAACTTCTTCTATGATACTCTCCACTTCATCTTCCCTTTTGTTCATGATTGGGCCTCCGGCTCCGGCATCAAGGCTAGTCTTACTTTGAGGGGAGAGTCCTCCGTAGAATGTTTGGAGAACTTGCCAATTAGGAATCCCATGGTGTGGGCATTGCCTTTGTAATTCTTTGAATCTCTCCCATGCCTCACAAAGAGACTCTCCACCTCTTTGGCGGAAACTTTGAATCTTTGAGCGAGCCTCGGCGGTTTTCTTGTGATTGTAAAACCTTCCTAGGAACGCCGTAGTTACCTCATTCCAAGTCGTGAGGGAACCGGGAGGAACATCCTTGTTCAAACCAATGTTCCGCCGCTCCCATGAGTGAGAACGGAAACATCTTCAATCTTATGTACTCTTGGGACACCCCGTTGATCTTGATAGTGTCACAATACTTGAGAAATTCTTTGAGATGCTCATGGGGATTCTCAAATTTCCCACCGGTAAATTGCCTCTTCTCTATCATTGAAATGAAATTAGGCTTTATCTCGAAATTGTTCGCTTGAGTGGTGGGGGCTAAGATCCCACTTTGTGAGGCATAAGGTTCGGGTGCTCCAAGTTGCTTTAGTGACCTTTGATCACCCATGCTTTGTTGATTATGGTATTGGGCAAATGGGTTGGGAGTTAAACCTGCAAATGATTCACGATCCTCACTAGAAGAGGGTGAAGGAGTAGGAGAGCTACTAACTTCCTCTTGGAAAGGGTTTTCCACACTATCCCTAATTTCCCTCCTCAATTGAGCAAGGGTGCGCTCCAGCTCTGGGTCTATGGGCGCCAAAGGACTAGAACTTCGTTGCCTCCTGCGCATATACAAAGCTAAGTAGAAAGTGAGCACTGACAAGCAAGGAGTAGTAGGAAAATTAAACAAGTGAACTAGTCTCAACGAAGGGATAAACGTACAATGGAAACCGTTTCCCCGGCAACGGCGCCAATTTGACAGGCGGTATTTTAGGTCGTCACTAAGACACCTCTATCAAATGATATTTGTAGTCCTAAACATGCAACTAAAAAGAGTATAGAGGCAAGTTAAGGGTCGAACACAGGGAAACGATTAAGCACCGCTATTTATCTCCTAATGTTAATCTAATTCGATCAAGAAGTGTGGTGGGTAAAGTAATGACTAAAGGGGATAGAACAACAATTAAAATAGGTACTAGGGGGAAGGATCAAACATGCTTTGATTTCAACGAAGTTAGGCATCGGAAAATAGGTTTACATGTAACCCAAGCGACTCATACAAGGCAATATCAAGAATACTCTCCAATCACCTATCGGGATTAAGAGCCTTCCTAGCTAACATACGCTCACACTATCGTCGTAAGGCATACAAGCTAAGGTCATGCAATAATCAATCACCTAATGACTATTCCTAAATCGCACTATCGTCACGATTTAGTTCACGTCATTCAACCACAACATGCATATGGCCATAAACATGGAGTGACTAATAAGTATAAGCACAAGGAAGATTTAATCACAAATATTCCAAATTAACCTAGCCTAACATACATCAAACTCAAAGTATATCTTCACCAAACCCCTAGCAACAAGAAACTACTCACTAGTCATAACTACAACTACAATCATGCTAAGCAACATTATAACCAATGAAATGGTAAGAGGGACAAAGTTTTTATCAACTAAATTAACAAGAGTGGAAGCTTTAATCATAAAAGCAAGAGACAATAGAGAAATATACCAAAACCTTCATTGAAATCCAAATAAAGAGCCACACATCATTCAATCTTCAATCTCCAAGCTTGACCATACATCAATGTTGCAAAATTACTTCTTCAAAAACTAAAAGTAAAACTAATGTTGATAGACAATGAGAATTACACTAAAAGCTATATGATTGTTCAATACAAAATTTCTCTATCAAAGACCTAGGAAATTGATATTTTTGAGCTCTCCCTTGGGTTTCTATGCTGGCCTTTTTTTTTATCTTTTTTTTTTTCCCTTTTAACTTGGGCTGAAATCGGGATTTGAATCAGCAGCAGAGAGGCGCGCTCGCGCCAACAGTGGCGCGCCCGCGCGTTAAATGATGGCGCGGCCGCTCCTAGAAATGCGCGCCCGCTCCAAAGAGGGTATTTAATGGTTGATCCCGCTCATCAGCGCGCCCGCGCTCTATAGATGCGCGCCCGCTCCTTTGGTTGCGCGCCCGCGCCATTCGTCTGGTTTGGACTTCTTCCTGTTTTGCCCTTATCCCTTCCATCTCTGAATCAACAGCATACGCCTGCAATCATGGAACAGGAAGGCAAGGCGTGATACAACGAAAGGGGAGGGGAGTATAGACTACCTAAACCACATGAATACACATTACGCGCCACAAAGGTAGAATACTCGAAATAGGAGGATCATAGCAAAAACATACTAAAATGAACTGAATTATTACTAAAACTACTAGAAAAGACTATCCTAAGAGCGACATAAATGTCACTCATCACCTGTGGTAAGATATCATCAAAAAATATCATCCATTATATCAATTATATCAATGTAGCAACAATTTTCCTCTAACATAGGCCCCTTCAAAACCTTCCCTAAATTAAAAGTAACGTTATCGTCACATACATAAAGGATTAGTTTACCATTTTTAACATCAATGATTGCTCCTGCAGTATGGAGAAAAGGCCTACCTAATATAATGGTTATTTGTGTGTCCTCTGCCATGTCTAAAACAACAAAATCAACAGGAATAAAAAAATTTACCAACTCTGACAGGTACGTCCTCTAAAATACCTAAGGGGTATTTTTACCGAACGATCTGCCATTTGCAAAGTTATATTAGTAACTTTTAATTCTCCCATATTAAGTTTAGCGAAGACAGATGATGGCATGACACTGACACTAGCACCCAAAACACACAAAGCTTTATCAATAAAAACATTCCCAATATGACAAGGGATAGAAAACCTAACGGGGTCCTTTAATTTAGGAGGGGATTTGTTTTGCAATAAAGCGCTACAATCCTCTGTGAAAGCTACAGTTTCTACTTCATTAAAGGCCCTTTTCCTAGTCAGAATGTCTTTCATAAATTTAGCATAAGCAGGAACTTGAGTGATTAAGTCAGTGAAAGGAACTGTTACCTGCAGGTTTTTCACAACCTCTAATAACTTACCAAATTGTTTATGAAGCTTACTCTTTAGATGTCTATTAGGGAATGGAAGTTTGATAACTGGGCTCTTCACATCTCCTCCCTAATCCTGCAATTTACCCTGCACGGAAACATTAGTAGGGTTAGTATCTATTTGTAGCCCTGTAGGGCAAGCAGGATTAGCGTTTGGTATAGAGAAATCTAGATCAGGAATTGGTCTATCTTCCTTTGGCCTAGGAGGTCCATCATAATGTGAACCACTCCTTAGAGTGATTGCATTGGCATGATCTGTAGGATGGATAGGTTGTGATGGTAGAGCTCCCTGCTGACGGGATTGTAGGGTAGATTAAAGTTGTGCAATTTGATTGTCCATGATTTTATTGTGGGCTAGGATAGAATCAATTTGTGCATCCCTACTCTCCATATGCTTTTGCATATTGGTAAGCATTTCTCTAATTTCTGTCATGGCAGGGTCGGAAGATGATGAGGGTGATGCTTGGCTTTTCTCGCCAGAATTAGGATGATAATATTTTTGTTGTGGTGGGGTTTGCTATTGCGGTTGTTGCGGAGGAGGAGGTTTTTGTACATTGGTGCTCCGGTATGAAAGATAAGGATGTTTTTTTTAACCGACATTGTAGGAATTGGAATAGGGATTATTCTGCCTATAGGTTTGAAAGGCATTAACTTGTTCCATAGAGATCCTACAATCTTGCTCCCAATGACCTACAATTCCACAATTTTCACAAAAAGCTTCATTGTTAGAAACAACAGAAACATTAGCTACAGAGTTAGGAGCAGCAGTAAGATTATCTAATTTTTGACAAATAGACGTTAATTGAGTTTGCAATAAGGAGACAGAATCGACATTATGTTTTCCTTTATTTGCAAACCCTCTCGGATTCCCATATTGGGAATTGTGTATATCCA